TGTAGAACTGCATCAATTTGTATTCACATAAAATAAAAAGTGTGGAAGAAAACAAAATATGACCCTATATTTAGTCTCTGTTAAATTTTGCCTATTGTTCATTCCTATTGTATGTGTCTTTATATGAGACAATAGCTGGGAGCAGGCATAAAAGGGGGAAAACCATGGTGCAGTAGCTTCAGTGTCAGAACACAGATCAAAGTTAATCAGGATTTTCAGCAGTAACTAAATACTGAGACTTTAATAGGTATAATATTATACAATTAATTAGTAACAGTGGTGTAATTATAATATGAGGACTTAATACTGAAGTTCAGCTATTATATACCTTAGATTCTCTAGAATGTCAATAGAAGATGTTGAATTAGTCATAATGGCTAGTTTCTTAAAAATACTTTAAAAAGTATTGATGCATTATACTTAGAACATAAGCTGTTTCAGTCAGAAAAACTTTACTGTTTGAGCTTGAATGTTCTGATCAGTAAATGGTTAATGCCAAAAGCTTGAAGATACCTTTGGAAACTAATGGAAAAAGGGAAGGTTACATTAGGGAACATTTGAGATAGGGAGAATAATCCCATGGGACCTTATAGAATACACCCACTAGTACTGAGTGAGCTGCTGGTGTTGCTTCAAGGCCAAAATTGACCATATTGGAAATGTCCCAGCAGTCAGGGGAATTCCTGGAATTTGTAGGGGGAGCAAAAAGCAAATGTCATTCCTGTTTTCAGTAAACTTTTGTTTTTAATGCCATCTTAGGTTCTTAAAATGCATAGTTTTGTGTATGGTCCTTTTAACGATATGGTAAATTCTCACCTATTTTTGCTTGTAGGAAAAGRTAGTTCCATGAAATCTCACCTGTTTATCATGGTTGTCCAAATACCTGTTTTTCTCTAGTTTTTTGGTGGGTTTTATGTTCCTTGAAAAAAATAAAAATCCCTAAATAATTGAGAACTCTTATGCTTGTTCTGCACTTGTGCAATTAGAAGCTTGTACTTTGAGACTTCACACTGCCTGTGTGAAAAACAGGTGAGTTCAGTTATAATATCCCTAGCAGTTTTTATTAAGAGCTTCTAAAATAGCASCTCTTTTGCTACTGCTCATTGAATTCCGTGATATATGACAGTTGTTTAGTYTGACACCTATCTCTTTATTTCCTTATGTTCCCTTATTTTAAAAAGCAGTTTTTTGTATAGRCTGAGGTGCTAGATGTGGAGTTATGAGTGGGGTTTTTTTTTACTTTATTTCCATTCTTTTTTCTGTCCATCTTGTTTGTAATTTTTCCTGAGAGAACAGAATATCCACTGACAATAGTCTGTGTGCTTAGGAAGAAATGCCRTTTCAGTAGACCAGAAACAGCTCTCTAAACTCCTACCCACGTGATAGATTTCTATCCTGCTTATATTCCCTTTTGCTTTGTGAGCTTAATTTAGTTTTAGACATATTTGTGGTTATGTTTCTTCAGCTTCAGTGATTTAAAACACTTCARCATACTTAATTTTTTATAACATGATTTTGAATTTTGGATATGGAAGGGAGGAAACATTGTTTCATGTAATGTCTTGAGCAAAAGGCAAATCTTTACACATACACAACCCTCCCCCACATTCGGTTCTCCCCAACACTGAACCTGATTTTCTTTTTTTGTTTCTTATTTTACAAAGTAACATGTTTGGCACAAATGCATTTGGTTTAATTTCTTAGAGATTACTGAAATAAATTTTTTTTCAAGCTCTAAAAAATTTATGTTTCAATTCAATAAATTGCTAGTGAGCTTTTGCAGCATACATAAAACAATTGTATGGGAAAAGAGGCTACAGTTTTTGCTKAAGGTTGGTGTTTAATGAGAGTTCATCTGGAATTTTTTAAAAAATGTATTATCCCTGAGACTTAGAGTAGGCAGCAAAAGCTCTGCAGAGGTTGTTCTGGAGCAGGCTCTCCATGCTTCACTGAACATTTTCAGAAATTTAATATTTACCAAGTGACAAGTAGATACCCTAACTTGCTGTGAATTGAGTTCAACTATATTCTGAAATGTTTGTRTTCTGTAGTATGAAGCTGAGATAGGCAGGGATTATTTTGAGTGAATTGGTGAAGTTCTGTAATTTTAATGTGACTGAAGAAGATTTGCATCTGTTGACACACTTGTTTTCTGTCCTGGCTACCACAGCTTGGTTTTTGTAATAACAATCTTTAAATTCTCAAGGATCTTCTTGTCTTGGTGTGGCAAGATCCCTTGTAAGCAAGAGGTTAATGCTACATTATTGTCAGCTGAAAAGGACTGGGGAGAAGTAGACTTTGCATAAGGAAATCATATATCATGTAACTTTCTTTTTTACCCTAGAATCTTAAGAAGGGAGTTGAATTTTTGGAGCAAATATATGTAAGAAACTGAATATATATGTACTATTTAAGGAAAAAAAACATATAAACCAGCACAAATTGCAGTCCTRTTATAAACTTAATTATAGCACAAAAAAATTGGATGTACATTTTGTTCTCACTGGAACTAGTTCAGTTTATTTTGGATAGATTAGGTATATGTGCATACTT